CTGCAACACCTCTTTTCACCCTCTGTCTGAAACCAGAGCCCAGTCTGCTCCGATTGGTTAGCTGGCCGGCTCTGTTGTGATCGGTCAACAAATTTGAAATGTCCCACCCCTGGCATTTCACATTCAATGTTTTGGAGCGCTAGCCAGTAAAAGCGTGAGTGTTACATAGTGATGTCATTATGTTAAGTAAGTAAACAAAGGAGTCCAATCGAGGCGTGTCATGCAGGTGGGAGGGTGTGGGAGAGAAACTCCCTCTAGTGCGACCTCAGGGATTTTAGCCTTTACAGACCATTTACATGCACTTACCTATACAACACAGTAAAGGAAATGGAAACGTATAACAGGGCCCCTTTAAGCCCAATGCATTAAGGTCCCCAGAGTTATGAAAATAGACCAAAGCAGCTGAAGACCTCTATCAGCTATAAACTCTCTGCTTATCTGTTTGTTTCTCTGTCCCCGAAATCCATGAGAAGGGTCATGCTTGAGAGGACACGGTAGATCTAACTCTGTTTATGTTCGTCCCTGGACAATCCTGATCAGCCCGACCATGAAGGACAGTAAGACACAAATACATCCCAAGACAACTGGGTCTTAAGTCGGCCAACCAAGGCCCTTGGGGACACATTGGTCATATTTTACAACTTCTCTGCGTAATGGAACCACTGAGTTGGTCTCTTGTGCGTCACAGGGATTCTCTTTGAGAAGACGTTTATTCAGGGCAATGAGAATAGATATAGTTGTTCCTATTCATAGCAGAAGGGTCATAAATCTGAATAATGTTGACAGTTATTATGGCTAAAAATACAGCTAAAGCTGATCATAATGTTTCTGTAATAGTCTCTATACTGCATAGAATAGAATAGAATGGTATATTTAAATCCTTCAAATCGTTTAATACAATATTTCCTTTGGAGCTAGAGGGAGATCAGGCTTTAATCATTGTCGCTAAAATACCAGGTCTGTTGTGCTAATCTACACAATTAATGTTCAATGTTCTGTTACATTCAAATCCAGATCTTTGTGTAACTTTCTCTGGAGATGGTTACCACACAATGTACTACAAAACATTGTGCTGCTAGCTGTGTACCTTGTTTTTTAATTAACTATTTACATTTTTTTAAGATTGATTCTGTATTTTATTTTTTACAAGATAGTTTCAGAGACTGCTCTCGGCTTGATACAAAATAAGTTATTTAACAAAAAAATATCTAATTACTGGTGTTTTCATCCCTTTTTGTATTTCGGACTCATAGTATGTGATAAATCAGAACTACTTTGATTTTGTCTTTTCACTTTATAAACAATAAACACGAGTGCTATTTGACTCATTATCATCTCAAAAGTGCTTACTAGGGAACCCCATGATTTATTTGTGTTTCCTAAACCCCAATAGCACAGAAGTCATTTAAAAGTATACTTGACATTGCAAACCCAAATCTCTCCTTACAATAAACGATATACATCTATTTTGGTTTGAGAGTGGGTTGTTTAGAGTTGCAACAGAGAAGTAGGCGTGGAAAAGTTAATGCCATACAGTAAATTACTTGCAGGAAGTGTAAATATGATTATTACTACTGCCAAAAATGGGTTGTTTGCCGGCGTGGAGATTCTTACAACGCCAGTAGTAGCATTTATTTGAACACATGAAGTGCCAGGCTACACACATCCTTCAATGCAACAGACTGATATGTTGAATCCAGAGGGCAGTTATGAAGACTTGTCGATTCCACCTAATAAATTCCCTCCAAATGTTTTTATTATAGCGATACATCCAGTATTTCAAATCTTCATTGCTACACAAGTATCATTTAGTACTTCATCTTTCTCCGTCATGTTAAGACTACATGCAGGAGACAGATGTAGCTTGGTAAGACCCCTTAGATAAATATTTAGATTTGAAATCTGACAAATGGGCTGCATTCCAGGGTCAAGAGAGCTGTAAGCTGCTGGTGATACTTTTTTTCAGGAGAGGCAGAAATCGTCTGACATCTCTCTTGCGACTGCCAGGTGTGACAGTTCTCTTTCTGCATAGACTTCCTCTTCTCTTTATGTCTCTCTGCTGTCTTTTACTTTTAAACACCTCTTTAAATCAGTGGAAGCTGTCTTTGAAGGAGGCACAGAGGAATGAAAAGGGTGTAGAGTGTGTCTGAAGGAGCTTTGTGTCTGGAATTCAGCATGAATGGTATCATAATGGTTTGGATTTTGTTCCAGGTCTGTTGTAACATGCGCCGTCCTGGCAAGTATTTAAAAACCTGCCTAGCGATCAAGTCTGGTCTGGATCATCAGCCCAGTTGGAGCAAAGGGAGGTGGAACAGGAGAAGAACCACCTGTGTAACCTTTGCCTGCCCTCTGCCAAGAACACCACCCACAGGTCCAACAGGAGAATATGGGTCTGATTTAGACAGGGAGGGAGGGATCTATCCTGTTTGCTTTGGGTTTGTATGTCAAAAAGTCAGTCGTGTATGTACATACTGTTCCATGCAATTAATGTAGTATGTGTATCTTATTTTATCAGCATGATTGTCATTTCTACATTGCTTTGGATATTGCAAATGTGTCATTCATGGAAATGTAAGAATCCCAAATAAAATGCACATTTCTAAATGTGCAAATGGATTGCATTTATAAGCACTTTCAGAGTTTTGGCAAGCTTTTACATCGACAGCATTTAACCAGTCATGAACATAATGCAAACATTGTCTCCTGAGGCTGCCACCTGCTAATCAGTTCAGACTAACATTCTCATGTATTCACGTCCTATTAGGAGCCATTTGTGGTTCAGCATCTTGCAAAAGGACACTACTGAAAACTGAATTTATGGCGCCGGGGATCGAACCACCAATCTTCCGATTTGCGGCCAACGCTCCATTATTTTGAACATTATTTTGATTTGCTTCATTCAGATACTGTATAACTGAAACACAGCCTATTGGACCTGTTTCTTGGCCTTATTGCTAGACTGCTGCAGCGGGGCCAAACAGCTGTGCTGTTCGGGGCAGCAGGCCACGGCCCTGTATGTTTTCTATCTACAGTGGAATTTATATGAGCCCAGGGTTACAAGCACATGAATGGGCCCCAGTGTGTTGGCTGTTTTGACGTCACCTCATCAGTGTGCATGTGATACACTCGTTAAAACTGGGACACTCCATGGCTAACATGTATTTCAAAGAGAACTTGGCCCCCTTTGAAGGGCCAGTGTGGTGATTTGAACAATAGACAGATTTGTTTGTGCCACTTTTAGGTAAGGAACATTCCAGGAATCCCCTGTTCATTTTAACCATGTATCGCTATTATCAATAATATATGTTTTGCATCTGCCCAGAGATATTCTTGTACTCTTGACAATTCTGAACTTGACAATGTTGAACTGCATCAAACAGCAAATGCTTTCCAGAACACTACGTTTGAGGAGTCATGCAACATGATTTTCCGCAGAAAGTATACGGTCGCACAATGTTACAAAACTGTAACATTTAAGTCATTGCTAAATGTTGATAATACTGTATTTATAGTATTGTATATGCTAAGGACCTCGGATATGTGGTAATGTTAAATAGCATAGTATAGTAATAATGTGCGAAAGGAGTCGAAACAGTAACACCACACACACAAGTAGGAAATCTTTGTTCACATATATTTTATAACATTTTGAAGTACATTAAGTACATTTTAGAAATAGAAGCTACAGTTTATAAAACCTTTCCAGCAGAAATCATTGATGGGCCAGCATCAGCCTTTTTTTCTCTAGCAGACAGGTCTGTTTTCTATATATAAAAAAATAAAAAAAACAAAAAGAAAAGAAAACGCTACATTATTTTGTCCTGCGCTACCTTTAAATTCCCATGAAAGCACCAGCTGTCTGCATCTCTTGTCTTTTATAAAATATAAATTATTGAAAAATATTCAAATGTTTGTGAACTAAATACAATAAAAATGATCTCATAACAAAAATACAAAGACACTATAAAATATACAAAAAACAATAACATCCAACAAAAAAGTTTCCTTCTGAATCCATTCTGAGATATGCCTATGCCACAAACTAATGGTGTGTATTCACTTGCACAACAAAGGTTCATTAATACATAAGACCTGCAGTAGATTGTAATCTGTGACATTTAACAATAGTATATTTCCCGACAAAATTATTCTTTAAAATACTAACATTTAAGGTAACGGAAGGAGTTCTTTAAGCACAGTATTTTGTGAAGCCGACCAAACTGATACTATGACCTTTAGTGGGGAAAAAGAGGAGCTATTTCAAGGGCACTGACAAACAGTACAATTATGTTTGAAAATGTGTAGAGCTTTCAGACATAAAACACTGATATTGGAAAACTATTCTGAACAAAACAGTCTTTTGAAACCTTGACATCAACATGCAGAGAACAATGAAAGCGCAGTGCAGCTTGTTACTAATTGTTGAATTACTCATGTCAGATGATGTGCATGGGTGAGAGTTTTACGAGTCAGTGCTTGATAATGGCGGAAAAGCGTGTTACCAATTAAACATCAGCACACATCCAGCATCTGTGTTCTACACTCAGTGGGAACCCCATATCAGCAAAAGGCATTTATCTTTGTCCTAAAGCTTGTGTGCTTTCCATCATATTAACAAAAGATAAAACAAAAGTCAACACTTTCCAAAAGTGTGAGAGAATTCTGGTCCCTGTCTTCCGACATTGTGGAGGATACCCGAAGCACCGTGACCAAAGACCTCACAAGGGTTTTGGTTATTTGTCCTGCTTTGTATCTTGCTTATTTGTGTAATCTGGGTCTCAATAAAGCATTATGAAATACAATCTGTACAAATAGACATCTCAAAAGATATTTTCATCCATATGGGTAACATTCAGCCACTGTAAACAATAACATTGTATTCTAAGATGATATTCCATTTTGGCATTTCCCACAAGGCCAGTGCACAGCCACTGTTCCCACTGTTGGTAGGAAACGACTGCCTTTTTGCTCAAATATAACCAGTTAATATTCAGTATGTGTTATATATTGTTTTGCTCATACACAAGTAGGCACAGCTCTACAAATGAAATGCAAATGTCTGCCACTAGCTGTAACCCTAACCCTAGCCCTATTTGCAATGAAGTTTAAGCTGCATTCATGCATCCAACCTCAATGATAGTGGAAAGTAAGTACTCTACCAATGTAATGCCAACTTCCAAGCATCCACCAACTTGCGTCATTTCTGTCAGTCTTTCTCTCTCAGATCTTACAAGTGATCATCAACTGCAGTATCCACAGTTTCCTTTCAAACACCTTCATCTATCCCGCACAACTTCAGAACCTTTCTGGTCGCCATGTTTCTATTGCCTATCCCTTTTTCCTACACTTTACCTTAACATACTGCAGCCGCTTCCTAATGGACGAAATGTATTGCATAACAAAAGACAAAAAGAAAAGAATCTGACATACTTAGGATCTGAAAAATCACTCAAATATTTCACTTGTGATTTCATTTTATAGACAGTCAGAAGACTATTTAAACACTTCAAAAGCAACACTAACATGGACAGTGAACCGACAAAGTATGCATCTAATCTGCACATTAAACAACTCTTTTTACTAAAGACTCCTGAATTTCCCCACATAGATTGTCTACAGTTTGCTAATACTGGTGGTATATGCAAAAATGCATAAGTTTCAGTCATAATATGTGTCTCCAACGAGGTGACAAACATGAATGTAAAGGCGAAAGCGTCAGTTCCAAAAGCAACGGCTACTTTCATATGTCTGTCTGTCAGACACTCTTGCTATGAGTAATCTCATCGGGTCCTCAAACCCTACAAAGCACAGGGCCAGTGTCTAGTGTTGTCTGATAACAAATCAGCACATTTCAGTTAAAGGCTCACCTAGAGAACTAAACAAACAAACTTGGCATCTAATGTTTGGTTCCACTGTAATACCTTAATTGACAACAAAAATGAAAAACAACTCTCCAATATATGCCTGGTTTACATTGGGTGTTCTCAACATCAATAATATAATACTGGCACAAGCATATACGCTCCTCAAACCACAAATTAGAAACGACACTTTTTGGTCCAAGCTGAAAATCCTCTCTTTGTCAAAGAGAACATTGGGCATTTATGTAACTGTCATTATACCTTTCGTAGTTTGGTATTCATGTTTTGGCAACAGGAACCTTCTGCCTGCTCTTCCCCAATATTTAATTATTCTGCTTTTCCTCTCTTGGTCTTCTCTGACTTTCTGTCTTTATACTTTCGTCTCCAACACTGTGCTACTTAGGCTGGAGGGAACCTGAACTATACCCGAAAGCGCTCCCTCTGCCTTGAGCTGCTAAATAATTCCGGTACATAATTACACATACGCTCACACACACACATGCGCACACACATCTCAAATGCAACAGGGTATGAATACAGGCGTTTGGCTTGTGCCTTCTTTTAAAACATGGTCTGAGAGGCAGGAGGTTGAAATGAACAAAGCCATGGTAAGTCGTTTAAAACATTTTTGGTCCCCAAAAAACGGTTTACCAACTCTATCAAAAAAGTTAAGACCACTTTATGAGCCCCAGTCCTTGTGTCTCCTGAACGTTTGTCTTCACTTCCTGTTTCTTCTTTGCTTTCACTCGTCCGTATCGGGCTTTACGTCCAACATTGCATGGAGCTCCTCAGGAGTGTATCCCAGCAAGCTTTTTAAGTCACAGACAAAGCGGTAGACGTAGCGTTTCCCCGATGTCTTGTGGATGATGTTCTTGTCATAGTAGTAGCGCAGGCCACGGCTCAGCTTCTCGTAGTTCATCTTGGGCTTGTTTTTCCTCTTGCCCCACCTCCGAGCAACCTAAAAGAATGCAGAAAATAAGCGTGTCAAGATGTGTCATACCAAATGACTTCAAGTGAAAGCCACAATTGTTTGTTTTCTGAAATATGGTTAGCTCTGAGAATGTAATAATCTACATTAAAACAAATAAGCAGTTTTTTTGTTTGTGGTCTTGTTGCAATGAAGTACTACAGATGCAAAACCAGACACCCGTCCAAAAAAAAGATCGATGGAGCCCAACAAGGCATGCAAACATTTCCACAAAGGCAGAAGAATTATTGTTCATCTGGCTAACTGCTTAGGACCTCCCAGTAGGTGTGCCAGTGGCCAGCAGGGTCACAGCCTCTCACCTCATCTGGGTCAGAGAGCTTGAACTCCCAGCCGTCGCCTGTCCAGCTGATGAAGGACTGGCAAGACTTGTCGGTCAGCAGCTCCAGGAGAAACTGCCACAGCTGGATAGGGCCGCTGCCTGCACAACAGATAAGAGAGGAAGAGAGAAGGTGTTTGTTTAAAAAAAAAAGAAGTACACTGAAGAGGCATATTGAGGTTGTGTAGACACTCGTTGGTGTGTGGTTTTAATTAGATAAGTGTGAGGTTCCTGTTTTAACAATGCTCGAAGTACTGTTCCTTTTAATTATATTGCATATATATATACACACAGTATGTTGATGCTTACCCTTAACCCAAACTCAAAAGTGGCAAAACACATTTAAAAAGAGAAAAATATCCAGTATTGGAGTTTACAAAAGAGAGAAACATTGCATGAATCTATATCCTGTTAATGCATAGCGTAGATAAGTACAAAACCCCTCGAAAAGTGAAGTCATCTCGAGATCAAAAGGAGGAATTTGTTATGTCTCTACAGCCTATACTTCTGTGCTATGTATGACCGTGTTAAATATGCATGACGATTATTCACTTATGTCTGAAGAGGGACAAAGTAAACCTTCTAATGTGGGTCAGACTGAAGTGCAGCAAAGGGACCAAATGTCTTCATAAATACAACAGTCCCATTCTTCATGTATCTCCTTGTCTGGCAGTTCCAGTATGTGAATATAGAGTCTGTGTCTGTCTGAGTTCCATACTGATGAAATCACTAGTTTAAAAAAAGAAGGGGTGTATTTAGACGTTAATGCAGACTGTGCGTAGGAGAAAGAAAGGGTTTGCTCGGTCATCTACAATGTAATGATGGATAAAGAATATAGTAACCTGTAAATATAGCGCTAGATGTAGCACTGCTTATTACATCTCGTGGAAAATGGAGGGAAAGCAGAAAGAAGATAACCAAAAAGGTCTGATCTCTGAACTAGATTCACTGCAGCGCATTTTGATCTTGTGGTTTTTTTTCAGCACATACACTCACCCACCTACTTTTGAGGCTTGCATGCTGAAATCACACCTGCCTATGCAGCACACGGCCTCAGCAAAACTGAAGCTACGCAAAAGTCACCTCTCTCGAGTGCCTAAGAAAACCAAATGTACCTTTATGTAACACAAACAAAAGCTTTCAGGGAAACAGACGTGTGGGTTGAAAACTTGAAATTGTGCTTGTGAGCTCCAGCAAGGATTGGAAGAAGGTGCATGACAACAGCCACCAAGACTTTGGAAAATGAGCGGCTGTGAAACACTGGGTCTCTTTCAGACAGAGGGCTTTCACTCACATTCCAAAAGTCTGCTACTGTAAAATAGCGAGCCCTCATAGGGGTGATATAGTGCCCGTTTACCAGCCCTATGAGCTCTCACGCCAGAATGTACTAGACGACCCTTTGACAAAAAAAGAAAGTTTCCAAAAATATTTGACAAGTCTCCATGCACAATGGGGCTCACAGTGTGGCAAAAGGGAAGTTGGGGTGGGGGCTTGAATTCACAGCAGAGTTAAGTATCTGACCCGTGGTTTGCTAAATGAGTCTGGAGTATATGGCTACGGCAAGAACGCTGGGTGGGGAGTGGGCTGCAACTAAGGCCACATTTTTTACTGAATGTAGAAAAATGAAAAAAGGTAAAAATTCAAAGAAAAACAAATCATGGATTCCAAATTCAAAAAGAAAGAACCTGTATGTATTTGAGTGTTTTATTTTAACTAAAACACTTTTTAATCTTAACTTTAAAAAAATGTAATACACTTAATTATTCTTGACAACTTTTAACTTTACTTTTTAGTTGATTATGTGCTGGTATAGGTTTGATAGATACGTACGTTGATGTTTCTTCATGTGTTAATGGGATAGAGACTCAGTCATGTTAGTAAGTGTATGTTGAATGGTATATGTGTACACGCCCAGGGACAGCAGATAGAAAATAGCTGATCTGGCATAAACCATCTCTTCTTTTTTTAGATGAATGTATTTTTATGCTTGATCTTTGTTTAATAATAGACATAATAACAGTTACGATATTTTCCACTTCACTAAACCGACAGGCAATGCAAATGAAAAGGCAAGTATCATGTAACAGATTCAGAGTTTAGCGTGTGCAATGTGACTTTAGAGAAAGGTGTAAATGGCAAATTGTCACAGGAAACCACTGAGATGACAACTAGAGCTTCACTTATCTCTCTCAAGCTTATCGGACTCCCTGTAAAGTGTCACCTGTCACCCTGTGACCGGGACAGGAAGCCGAACAGAGCAATCTGTCATAAACATCCATTTGGAATCTTAAAAAATATACATATTTGAGGTTTCTCTCTTGCTCATCCTTACACTTTTTCATCAACCCACACATTTGCACATGGGCAAACACACACACAAAGACACTAACACACACACAAATACTTCTTCCATCTTTGAAGGACTACACTCTCCCTTCAGTGCTCTTAATAACAGCTTGGAATGCAGGCTGCTCCACATTTTTCCCTTTCAAATAAATTGGGGTATATTAAAATGATTTTTTTTTTAATCTTTCCAATTTTTTCTTTGTATAAAAGCTTAGAGGAAGCACCTTCTCCTCAGCTGAGTACACTACTATGCATTAGGCTGGAAACACTCACCAGTGTTTCACACATGTGCTCTTCGGAGACATTTATCCTGTCGTAACAACTGATACATGTAAGATGTCAAAACCAAAACGGTAAATGGAGTGAGAAAGCTGTGGTGAACATTTGAAAAAGGTTTTGAAAGAAGATATTTCCACATGCTAGGGTTTACACTCTGATCTATTACAGATTTCGGCCAAAGCTTATTTCATAAAGCCAGATGTCATATTGTTGAATACCAAAAAAAACTTCCAAAAAGCTTATCTGGTTTCAGCTGATTTAACTAAATGTATATTTAGTTCCTTGGTTCATATAGGGTGCATGCAGCAACTCAGCCTAATGGTCACTAGAGGGGCTTTTAGACAGTGTCTAAAGCTTTATTATTTGATTATATGCACATTACGACATCTTTCCGACATCATTATGAATGAATGACTCACTGTTCTATAAGAAGCTTTTGAACTAATAGCCACACAGATGACCAATTCACTTGTGCATACCAACTTTAGGACAGTCAGTTGAGATCTGATGTATGCATTGTTAGTGTCGTTGAAAAATGTGCTCGGATTTCCCCTTTTTGAATGTTGGCAATCCGACAGCCGTGTGACTATAATTTAAACACAACCGTCTGAAAAAGCCCCAAACACTTTGACCCTAAGATATGATCCTCAAAATGTATTTTTTAAACAGCAGTGTATGTCATAATAAGGTTAACTTGACCCTCCTAAAAGCTTCAAAATACATTTTCTTGTGCACCATATGATTTGGAAAGTATTTTTTTCTTACATTACAAATATATAGTAACAGTGTTTTTTTTTCTTTGCACCTTTTGAGACCAAAAACCCTGACAGATGCTAAAATAGTACATTTGCTTGAAAAGTGTGCAGTTATCTACACATCTGACTGAAGTTGGAGAACATATAGGCCTGCTCTTAGAGCATGTACGAGTATGAAAATGCCTCTTGTGATGAAGAGATAATGTTACTCCGGTGCTATGTGCAGGGACAGGCATCCTTTTTATGTTTCACCAGCGTTGCCAGGACGACCTCGGAAAAATAGGTTGAGATGCGGGCTGCAGATAACAAGGAGGTAGATGAGAAGTGAAGACAGAACAGAAGAGTGTGAGACAGAGTGAGAGAGAGAGAAAAAAAATAAGAAGAAGAAGAAGGTAGTAGCAAAATCTATTTTGCTTCCTGTAATGTGCATGACTCGGGTTGCCAGGCTAAAAAGGTGTTGTTGTTTTTTTTCTCTTTGGTCTAAAAGTGGTGCATTTAGGCACCCCCACATCTGGGGCTTTTGCAGAGCAACAAAAAAAAGTGTGTTACAGCTGCACAACATCTTTTCGAGCCTCCTCGTATCATCGATGGAAGTAACAACATTCTGCAACTTCTAAGAATATTTCACTCAAAGCACATGTTGTTTATCTTCATGGATATGTACAATAAATTAAAAATTAAAATGTGAACGTCAACAATAGGATCTTTTAAAGCTAGAGTAACAAGAGTAGGACTTGAAATTCAGATGGCATTCAGATACTATCAGAAATTAGCAGCAATATTATCTGAACTAACCGAATAAAGTTCATTTGAATACCATCATGTGAAAATACATATTATACATTTGTTTTATGTGTACTAGTGCCAGCCCTGTGATTGTGCATGCTGGGCAATGGAGCAGCACAACTTAATGGAGCCCGATTCTGTGATTGATGTTATCGGTTACCCTGTGATTTAAAAACGAAAAAAGAAAGATTTCTGCTGTGAAAAGGTTCTGTGAAAAACGACAGCCCTTTTCAAGGTAGGGCTTTCTAAAAATCTAAAAGGTGGACATCTCACCTGTGTATCCTGCCAGTGCTGCCGCGGGGATGACGGGTTTATCCTTGCTGAGGTCCGAGCGCTCCCTCACATAGTCTTTGAAAGTGCCCTTGGGCTTGTGGCTATGCAGGGCAGTGGGGTAGTCTTCTGAGTCGAAGCTGTCGTACGAAGGTACCCGCTGCAGGCTGCTGAACGAGGACTGGCTGCTCCATGACTGGGTCAACCGGTCGCAGCTCTCAAAGCTCTCGATGCTCTCAAAGGAGTCCTGGCCTCCGAGTTTACCTGGGAGAAATAAATAAAATTGTTATAAAGATGACGGTAACATTTTATTAAACCTGAATTTGTATTGTATGGCTTTCCTACTCTACTCTAAGTCAACACCTTAGAAGTAACTTGTATATTATTCTGTACAGTTCAACATCTCTGTCCATTTCACACCTCATTTCACTTTTACAACCTCCATTTGGGTTTGATTTTAAATTGAAGACAATCACACAAATTGCCTTGCTATTTTTGGCCTTGGGAAAGATAAGAGGAGCCTTTGAACGGCGAGCTATTACCAAATGACAGATAATGCAAGTCAACTCGATTGATGCTGAAATGTTCTACTGCTGAAATTGAAGCCACATGTGGATATCAGTTGTGCTACGAAATGCTTTCCCACGTTTGGAGAGCACCATTCAACGCTCAAAAGCTTTGAATGTGTGATGCGTAAGGATCAGACCACATACCTTGCAGGCAAATGCTTAGAGCACTAGCAGGAGGCTTGCATGCATGGTGTACAAAGCTGATGCTATTCATTTATACAGCTGGGGATTTGTGAGAAAGAAAAATCCTAGGTTTATGGCTTTAAATGTAAACCATGCTGCTAATTCTTCTGTAAACTATCACTGGGAGAGAACACAAGCATGCACATTGAAAAAAGCAAACAGTTGCATGAGAAAACCCCACGCTTGCTTGCTGAGGATGACACCTCTATCTCCTTACTCAGAAGTCGAGGAAAAGAGGCCAACAAAAACAAGAAAAGAAAAAAAAAATGTCTTGAAGGTTACACCACTTGAACTGTTTTACATAAAGGACGGGCGGCAAGAAGAGAACACGTTGTGGCTTTGGTTCGTGTATCACACTGACAGAAACAATAGAGTTTTCTTTTTTTCTCCCAACCAAGTCTAGATTGTGTGAGGCGGGTTTTCTTGAACCACAAACCAACCAGAGGGCCTGCTTTTCTTCTCTTCTAATACTTGCAAGCTGATGTGGCATGACAAGATTCTGGTGGCCTCAGCACAATCACACGCACTCACAAACCCACACAAAAAAAAGTACCTGCACTTTTGTTGGACCTATTTATCACAACATATCGGTTGAAAACGCTGAAATGCAGCACATTTCCACTGCTTGAATCTCAACTATACTACGTGTCTGGTTTGTGACCCCTCACCTCGGCTGAGTCGTCCCACACACATGTTGTCATGGGATACCACCTCCTGTTTGACAGTGAAGTAGTCCCCCTGCAGCGGGTTGAGGGGCGTGTCCCGTAGGATGACAGCAGGATATTCACTCTCGTACTTGAGCGTCAGCAATTCCTCCGAGCTGATGGGATGAAGTGTCTGGTAGGACTCTGTGATGAAGCCGGGCTCTGAGTATTCAGAAGGAGGGACACATTGGGCATGTTCAATTCCGTAGCCTGGAGACACAAAGGGAAATGAGTGTGGATAGAAAAGCAGAGATGGGAGCAAGGAGCAGAGGAGAGGAGGGAGATCAATCATAGAGTGGAGTCATTATCTATATTGTGCTCAACTGCTGCCCAATTGCTTAGTGTTCGAAAAGCCCATCACAGAAACAGCCCTGAGTGCACAAGATGAGTCTTGTCCATTTGAGGAAAGATTATTGATTTGTCATGCACCCATCTTTAACAGAACTTACATTCATGCCATATTGCTTCCTATAATATGTCATCAACAAACCGAAACAGGCTTTTTACTTAATCCAAAAGTTCATTTCTTCCTAACACTAAATCCCCAAACTCTTTTATTCACTACGCAAAACCACACCTCTTTTTCTATTCAAGGAGGCTCACGTCTTGTGCTATTACGCAGAGTGATTTTAGTACTTACTGACAAAGTAGTCTGAGGTATAACGGGATTCCTGGAAGTTGGAGGTCAGTCCATTGATGGGGTAATGCTTTGCATCCTCTTCATGAAAAATAGATAGAGAAAGAGCGTCAGTGACCTCACCATTGATTTCATGTATTGTGTAACTGCATCCAGCATTATCAAAAATTAATGACCTGAGCTAAATTGTGTCTTCCCGTTTGGCTCCCGTTACTATAGCAAATGTCAACACTGTCCTACTCTAAATTGGTGAGAGAAGTGACCCTGCTCTGGGATATGTTTCCTCACATGTAATTGATTAATTTGCTTTCTTAAAACAAACTAATAAAAGTGGCATGGACAATTAAAAAAGAACAGCGTTAGGACAAAAGTGGCATTACCTTTCTGAAGCATTTCTAAATGTTCCCAAAGGATGTCACCCACAAAGTCAGGTGCTAAGTCTAGGAAGCGATCCTTCCCCATCGCACACAGGCTGGCTCCGTTCATGCAGAATTTTTCAAAGTCGACATTCTTCAGACTGAATTCGTTCACTGTCCATGTTAGCCACTCAGCCACATGGTTGTCTGTCCACTGTCTGGGATCTGAAGACGAGCACACATAATAATTGTAATACACAGTTAGAAAAGCCCCTTAAGTACATGTGCAATTCATTGAATCCTAATCCTCATGTCCATACAGAGTATGGCGCACGCCACATATTCTCTCTGAACTACAGACCATTCTGTTTTATTCGTCATGCCATCAAAGATTATGCAACCAACTTTCACACCGCCTCTGTGGTCAATGTATCTAACCATGACAAGTCAATCAAAAACAAACAGGGAGGCAGGGGTGGATGTAAACAGAAGTGGTAATGACAAGCTAAAACCAAAGTTTGCACATATAGTACGATTACATGCTGAGAGTCCTGCCGCTTCCAAACAGCTTGAAGAGGCTGTGTGGTTGAAACTAAGTCATCATTGTAATGTCTGCCTCGAGATTCTCTGGAAGCTGCAGTCAGACAGTCTGCCTGTACTGAAATATATGTAATGTACGGCCATTTCTAGAATAACTGGGTGTCTCCTTATGTTCTTCTAAGAGATGCCTTCACAGAATTATCTAAAGCGGGCTTTATTGCCTGACATGTGACACGTCGAGATTCTTTGAAAATGTTATGAGGCAATTATAAAAAAAAGCTGACAGTCTTACCTTTGGGAATACCAAGCCGCTGCTGTTCCTTTGTGAAGCCGCTGAAGGTGGCCTTCAGAGCCTGGGACATCATCTCTTTACTTCCTGGAGTGAGAAGGGGAACATCTCCACACTCCGGATCTGCAATTTACAAAGAAAATTGATTATGATATTATTTCGAATTGTATATCTCCTTTATTTTTGATTGCAATTACTAATATGTTCACATATGCTTTAATTATAATTGACAACCCAAGATATGAGAATGCATCCTGTATTGTATGTCATGCCAATAGGTTTCCTGAATGAAAAATACAATTGAATCAGAGAAGAGGGCGGGAAAGAGTGACTTGTGAATGTAGTTAAGTTACATGAACGAACACACACACACACACACACACACACACACACACACACACACACACACACACACACACACACACACACACACACACACACACACACACAGTTGTATCGGACCGTGATGAACAGCAAGGCTCAACAATTACATTTTGTCTAGACAGAAACTGTCTACATATCTGATCCAATCTATTTTAAACAAGAGCTGTCTACAAACGGAGGTAAAACTCCATGTGTCAATTTGTTTGCTTAATGTTACACTTGGTCATTTTGGATAGTTCACAGGAAGTCTTTCTACCACTTTTCTTTTTGACTCTTGTCTACAGTTTCTGCTTTTCCAGGCAGATTCCTGAGGCAACTCCCACTCACCTGGCATGCTACATTAGTATAAACACACACGTTTATTTACAAGCACTACAAACATTAACCTCTCTCCCAGCCGCACATTCTGGGTGGGGGAGCAGTGCGTGGTGCCCATAAGCGACACCATGACCCCTGCTAGCCCTCCTACCATGTTGCCCTGACACAGTGGGCCTACTGTCACCCGACCAAGCATGGGGTCAAACATTCTGAGAGTTCAAAGGTCGAGGGATGAGGTGATGATGTCACCGTGGCTGCTGGCGGGTGGCTTATAGAGTTTGGGGGTTGGGCTGTCTCAAGGGTCTTGGTCACACACACTAGGGTTACTGTTCTCTGATCACAGCCAGTGGGCACCCTTTGTGGAACAGAGCCCCCTTTGATGGCTTTAAACAGTGCCTGATGACTCGCACTCATCTAATTAGATTGACTAGGCTGCAGAAGTGTGGGATGAGGGGGCAAAGCAGGGGAGATGATAAGGGGACAAGGGGAAAGACCCCCGGGCCACCGACACAAGAATAGAATAATCAGGCCAAGACTCCACGAGCGACTTGTAAATAGACAATAAAGGCCTTATAGAGTTCCAATTAACTGACATGTCTTTATCAAAGCACCCACCCCTCATTTACACAACAAAGAAAGACATATATATATCGTGATCAAGTCTGCAGAACACAATATAATTATGTTGTCTAATCAACTTGTTAAGTAAAGCGTGTGAAGCAAATCTTCATCAGGGTTAAGGTGCATGCAGAATGAAGGGTTCAGCAGGCTTCGATTTGTGCAGCATGTCTTTCTCCTTAGCTCATCCCTTTCCGTCCGTCTCCATTCTGCATCAATTAAAATCATTAAAAACCAGATCAAAAAGGCTTAGCCTGAAGGCAAAATCATGATGAGCATGAGTTGTGTAACTCCTCTCTTCGAACCCAGATGTTCTGGCATCTCCACTGGCTGGTGGTTTTATCTGCCAGTCGAACACCGGGGCAACATACAGTTCATGCTTGTTTTCACCACTCGTTGACGTCTCGACCTCGTCAGGAATGCACAGCAGCTGCTTCGCCCATGTAACCAATGTCTGTCTGGCTGTTTGTAAAATAAAGACTCCTAGTTTCTTTTTTTCTGTTTATTTTCTCTCCCCAAAGAACAAAGCCTCATAAGAGGTCAGAGACAGAAGACAGACAAGAGCTCTTTGCTATTTCATGTAATTTAATTAGGGCTTGTTTTAATATACTGCTCTCTGTTACACTGATGAACACAGAATGTTATTTATTCAAGTCAGAAGTAAAAGCAAAGCCTAAAAGGAAGCTGAGAACAATAATCTCACATTGTAAACTATTGTCAGTTTGCATATCAAAATAAATCGTGCAGTTTCACAATGAAAATAAGACCAGAGCTAGTCTTTGTGTACAAGTTGCCCCTCATAGGAAGGTTGTCTAGGCCTCTGCTGAGCTCATTTTTCTTTTAAGTAGTGTTGGAAGTGTAAAAAGGAGGGCACTGCTAACGGCTGCAAACTGAGATGGGACTGGGGCTCAGACAGTCTGCGCTTTGATGTGAAGGCAGGGCCGAAATGTGGCAGTTTATTTAAGCTGGATCCAGAGGAGTTTGTCTGCACTTTCGAACTGATTTCCCCCTCCCTCTTCATCGCTTTTACAGCCCCAGTGTGCTTGCCCACACAGACTTGAGTCCACTTTAACACTAAATCCTCCATAGAAGACACTCAACACCACCGTGCACGAGGACTACCATTAGACCCTCCAAAGGGAAATATGTGAACCATGATTATAGAGCAAAATGTGAACTGCAATGTGTGTGATTTCTTTAGTTATTATTTTTAATAATATGGGATTTTTGTTTAAAATCTTGAACATATTCAAAGCACAACAAATGTTTTTTTTAGGTTGTACAGTTAGGTGAGACTACAACAGTCTCTTAAAGACACATTCCTCCTTCAACTAAATCATTTTAATTATACTACTAAAGGTGCATGTTTTGTTGTCTATCCCTAAAACAAGATACAGAGTACACAACAAGGCTGAGAGGCAAACAAAAGACCTAAAAGTGCAAGGATAAAGAGCAGCCTCCATGGTGAGTGATCCATATGAAAGTTATCTGCGGCAGAGCTAATGTACAGTGTGCATCCATTAGCGAGAGAGGCGAGCTTGGATCTAGACGATCTCTAGTAAATGATGAAGTCCTGATAGGATTTCAATGCCTGTGAGTCCCATTAGATGCAGAATGGTCAGTATGTACCGAGAGTTAGAGCATCCACAAGTCATCACTTTCCACATTAGATGGTGTGGGTCTGTCCGCAAAATGAGTCCCATCCACTTAGCTCACGAAATGTAGGCGTGGGTGTAAATCGCAGGGAACATTATGGCGGCTCACTAACAGCTAACGAAAGTAAAAAGAGCATCTTGAGTGAAAAGTATGAAATTAAACCATTTTCTCTGAATGATGTAGAGGGAATAATAATAAGTAAATCTATTCTAATAATTGCTGATATAATGAGACTGATGTTGAGTCTGAAATTCACAGTTAAACATATTGATTAGCCACTCCCATCTTCCCATGACATCAGTAATGTTCAGGCTGCTGAGTGCGACAACCATACTTCTCCAAGGGATTCTCCATGACATACTGTGCCTCTGTGACCAAGCCCTAACTCAAGCCCAGCGTAGGTTCTGTACGGTTCTATATGCTGTTAATCTGATACACATTGATACACACACATGAAGCAAATTAGCAGCCTTCTTTGCCTGTGCGCAAGAGCGTGGGCGTGAAATTGGGAATTTTTGCGACTGGGGCCAAAGTCTATGGGGCTGGAACAGACATGGCTGGGCAGGGCAGGGTAGGGCCGGGCTGGGGAAGATAGCAAGGGAGCATCCCGGGTGGGTGAGGGGTGAATGAGCAAGGGGGGATGACTCACCGGCCTGTAATATGAGCCCATCACAGGACAAGAGAACCGGGGGTGGGCACAGTGGGGAGAGAGAGAGGCAGGAGAATGAATGGGAGGTCTCATAATGCTCTCTCTCTTCTCCTTGTCTCTGGAGTGACATCACAGTGGGATCAATGCCATCTCCCAGCCTCTGGCGGAGACTCAGTTCATTCATAAAGCCTGGACTACTGCCTCCACTCAGAATGATGCAATGATACAAGCAGAGCAGGCTACCAGACCCAAAAAATAAGGGACAATATGGTTTCTGTCATGCGATTGAGCTATAAATAGCCCTATAGAGTTTATCCAAAGAGTGGGAGTGTGTTGGCGTGAGGAAAGAGAGTCGGCTGTGAGAGAAATTGAAACAAATTACAATGAGGATGACATCTGAAAGGCCACTCAGAGATGTTAGGGTCATGGAGAATGTTAAGGTCAAATAGTCATTTATTTATAATGGTGTCAAAGTATGTGGTAATTCATGCCTCTATTTCTATGCCCATCTGTAGTGAACGGTGGGGTTTATTTAAATCTGCAAAAAAGTCCATTTCCTGTGGCTAAGTTGCCACTTCCTGTGGGAAGTGAGGTGAGTTGTGGGTTCAGTTGAGGGTCATATCCCTACATGCATGCAGGTATATTTCAGCACACTGCAGGGGAAATGAGAGGAGGTCTTGGATACTTGCCAAGGGTTCATAAACGACTCTTTAAGGCAGACCAGTCTGACCACAGCAGACCAGAGGTGGCACTGGTATCTGAGAGAGCCTTTGATGGAGATTTGTATCTGGACCCCTGATCTGAAAACCCGGGGTCATAAACCCGACCAACATGAAGGGTCCCATTCAGCGCTACAGGGTGATAGAGTGGTGGCTGAGGGTTGCAGTGGAGCAAGAGGAGGAGAACGGGGTGGCAGTCTGACTTTGAGAGGACCACTTGTTCAGCCAGCCGCTCCGCTGTTTTGATTTCCATCTCAATGCCAAGGTCCAGGAATAGATATATAGGCCTGGCTCAAGCAAACGTTGAGAAACCAAACCAAGCCTAAACCCAAGTCTGCTCAAGCACAGGACAATGTTGACCAGAACAGATCCTCCAGACAACCAAGGTCCAACCCACTATCACGGAAAACCCTGCTGAAACACTAGTTGTATTCTTAGGTCACCGCTGGCTTCTGGCTGCACTCTTAAAGCTCAAGCCTGTGGTGGTGTTAAACAGCTGTACGCAGCGAGGCCACTACTGCTGACATCTGTCTTTGACCATGAAACTATAGAGTTGTCCGGGATCATCAACACCACAGACATACCGGCTACTGAAGCAGACAAGAATCCAGACTAATACCCTGAAGCTGCTTTGCTGTCTTTCTCTCTTCCACTCTGTCCATCTCTGAAATCATATTAGCTTATGATTTGAAAGTGCATTACCTCCACTGTTTATGCCAAAGTCTCAGCGCTTGATATGACATTACCTCTACGTTTGAGATGGTAAGCGCCATCGGCAA